AACTCCTTTTTTACTACTTTCTGTGTTATTTTTATCTATGATTAAATTATCAACGTTTAGTTTAAGTAATTTTATTTTTATACCCTCCCCCCCACTTTCTAGTTTAAAAGCTCCTCCAGTCTTTCTACCATTTTCCCTCCCAGGAATGCTGCACCTTTCCCATTAAGATGCAGCCCGTCTCGGCTGAAGAGCCGATAGCCGACTGCGAAGTCAGCCCAGTTCTCCAGGAAACCAAAACCTTCCTTCTGACACCAGCTCCGGAGCCACTTATTAAGCTCCCTCAACTCGCGCTGTCTGTCCGGAGTGGCTCTTGTCACCGGCAGTATCTCTGAGAAAACTACCGTGGAGGTCCTTTCCAAAAAATACAGTACCTGCCTCCATAAAACCAAACAGACCTACTTCATCACCCTCATTAACACCATCTCATCCAGTTCTCATTAACACTTTTTTACCTTTAACTCCCTACTCTGTTCCCATCCACTTTGTTCCCCATTCTGTACAACTTAAGACCCATTTCCTTTCTGCTGTTTACCTCCAAACTTCTTGAATGACTTCTTGAATGCCTAGTCTTCAACCACCTGAGCTGTCACCTTACCGCTAACAACCTCCCTGACCACTTTCAATCTGGCTTTCATCTGCAACACTACACAGAAACTTCCCTCCTAAAACTTACTTATGATTTACTAGCTGCTAAAACCAATGGCCACTACTCCACCTGCCCCTCCTCAATAAACTCCATTTGCCTCCAAGACACTGCTCTCTCAACGTTCTCAACGTTTACCCCCTGCCTATCTAATTGTACCTTCAGTGTCGCCTTCAACTCTACCTTCTTCTCTCCTTCCTCTTTCCATGGGGGTCCCCAAGACTCCGTCCTTGGGCCACTTCTGTTCTCTATTTACACCTACTCCCTGGGACAGTTGATAAACTCTCATGGCGTCCAGTACCATCTCTACTGACGACACCAAATCTATCTCTCCACTCCTCAGCTCACCCATTGAGTCTCCTCACACATCACTAATCTACTTACTGACTTATTATCATGGATGTTACACCACTTCCTCAAATTCAAAACAATTTTTAATATGTCCTCCTCTCTGTGTCCCCCTCCCCTGACTTCTCCATCATAATCAGCCGCTCCCCTCACACCAGGATTTCTTGGTGTATTCCTTGATTCTGACCTCTCCTTTCAGCCCCACATCCAATCACTATCTTGCCAACTGAACTGCCACCACATTTCCAAAATGTGCCTTTTTTTTAAACAAATGACACCACAAAGCTTCTAATTCTCACCTCGACTAACTCCTTCCTTGTTGGTCTACTAAACAGGATTTTTTCCCTTCAGTCTATCATTATTGTTGCTGCTAGAGTCACCTTACCAACCCAATCATTCAGTGTTCACTGTCCCTCTCTGCCAAGCTCTCCACTGGCTTCCACTTGCCCAATAAATACAATTAAAAATACTGACACTAACATACAATGCCATCTACAAGTTTGTCCCAAACTACATCACCAACCTCCTCTCAAAATATAACCCAGACAGTCCTCTCCGCTTTTCTGAAGACCTCTGCTCACTAGCTACCTCGTCACCTCCCTCCATGCTCACCTTCAGGACTTCTCTAGAGTCTCTGCCATCCTCTGAAACTCCCTACCCCAATATGTCTGCTTTTATCCTACTGTGTCCAGCTTTAGGTAATCCTTGAACTCATCTCTTCAGGGAAGCCTATCCCACCTCAACATGTTACCTATCCTTTTACTTCTTCCATCAGCTCATCCACACAATTATTACCTTTTGTATCACCTGCCTTTCCTACTAGATTGTCCAAGCAGGACCCTCCTGTATTGAAATTGTATTGTATTTGTACCGTCTCCCTCAATTTTGTAAAGCGCTGCACAAACTGTTGGTGTTCTGTAAATCCTGTATAATAATAATAACAATAATGGACAGAAGTAGAAATAACGATGCATGCACATCAGACATAGTTCCTAAGTCTGGTAAGGGATGACCTAACATTAGGGGTAAAGAATCATTCATATCAGTCCCTACGACAGAAAAGCTAGTTTGCAATAGAAGGACATACAAGTTGTAAAGCACATTAAATAAAAAATTAAAACATACCCCTACAGTAGCCAGCTTGAATTTACTTTTATATGGCAGTTTTACAGAGTGCACCATTCCACTGAAAAATTCTGGAGGTTCGTGTGGAGTAATTTCAGAAAAGACATATACTAACCTCCTCCCGTGACCCAAAGCTCAGGGCCTATTGCCCGCGATATACTGAGAGCGCCACAGCTGGGACGGATCCCGACAATAATGCAGAGATCCACCCAGGGCGTAAATGACAGCTGGCTCTGCCTATCTAGAGTCATAGCCAGCTGTGCCCGCCCCCTCCCCCTGTTCATTCCTCCACTCAGCGCTGGAAAGAGGAGGGGGGAATCCCTGGGGGGAGCCGTGACTGACAGTCACGGCTCTCTCCAGGGAGATGATCAGAAAGTGAGCGAGCGACGGTATGTGTTCGCTCACTTCTCGATCAATAGAGCCGACCTGTGACAGCTTCTTTGTCACATGTCGACTCTAACTATGAGGATGAGTGGCAATAACTCACCTCATAGTTCTCCTTTAACTATTTATATTTTTGACACTTGTTTTGCTTATATTATTATCTAGATTAGTATTTGTGTTTTTTCATCAAATAAATTCATAAAAGATGCTGGTAAACATTTTTAATAACACTTTTGCATTTTTATTAATAACTTTTTGCGTTTTTATAGGCAAAATTATAATCTACAAGAGTTGACGCTAAACAATGCAAAAGATACATCTGCACAGCTGTTCGAAGAAACAGAATTGTACACACAGCGTATGAAAAGAGAGGATGAAGATTATAATATACAGTTACAGGCCAGACAGAGGATGCAGAAAGAAAGCATCGTAAGTATGGAACATTTTGATTTGACTGTATTTGCAATTCTGCCAGTATTAATATATTAGACAGATCATGTGCAAAACGCAGTAATGCTATATAATATAATATAAACCCTGACAACCAAAGTTGTAGTCAGTTTAGAGAAGTCAGATCAAATAAAATAATTGTCATTTAGTGCTGCACAATAACAATACTAATAATAGTAATAGTAACAACAACAAAAACAAAAAGCTATTAAAGGAGAACTATGAGATGAGTGATTTCCACTCACCTCATAGTTCTAAGCCGACCTGTGACAATGAGACTGTCACAGGTCGGCTCAGTAGATCGGGAGGTGAGCGAACACATACCAGGTTCCCTCACCTCTCGATCCTGTCACGGCTCTCTGCCGTGACAGGGGGAGGGGCTGGATTCCCTTCTCCCCGCTCCGATCTGCTAGCGCTGACTGGCGGAACGGACGGGGGAGGGGGCGGGTACAGCTGGCTCTGCCTCTAGATAGGCAGAGCCAGCTGTCACTCATGCAGCTGGGCGGATCCCGTCATCTACGTCGGGATCCGCTCCAGGTGCGGCGTCTCAGTATACCGCGAGCTGTAGCTCGCGGTATACTGAGCTTAGGGTAACGGGAGGACGCTAGTTTGTGTCCTCCCGTTACCCTAAGGAGAACTATGGGGAAAAACACTGACCCCATAGTTCTCCTTTAATTGTTTTTTGTGCCTTCTTCAAACATAGAGAAGGTTTCAAGAATACAAAGTAACTAAAAAATGAAGCTGTATTTAATAATGACATTTTATTGCTCTTACTAAAAATACTGTTAAAGATCAGGGCAACCAAAATGGCTTTTGAATGTACCTATTTGTCTGCCCACTTTGCTATGATATACATGCTTAGTGTATACTGCATGTACAGTATAGCTAGCTATTGTTTACCAGTCGCAAACAGAACAGTAGAATGCTTGCTCTCTGTCTTATACACGTGTCTAATAATAGTGTCTGTACTAGGATGTCAATATGTGACATAGAAGTTTGAAAGTTAGACCATGCAGAAAAAGAAGTGGTTTTGTTTTAGAACCTGCAGCAAGCATCTTTTCTGTTGACCACGAGGGCACCTGTACGAACCCTGGCTCTAGTGGATGGACAGATCTTAACATAGTTGCAGTGTTTATTGGATATCATTAGTTAAAGAGCAACTGAAGACAAAGCTTTGTTTTTAGTCTTGGATAGAGTGGTGAGGGATTAGAACACTGTCCTAATCAGGTTGTCAGGTTTCAATAGCTTTCGTGTTCCCGTCAGGGAAATTCACCCTCTTTATTAGACCTGGTGACTGTTATCACTGAAAGTAGAAGTAAAAGAAAATCACAAATGTTAAGTTTGTTTGAGTAAGGAATAGATGGGAAATCTTCCAATGGGGCACTAGTTCTGGTGACCCTGCTAACCACCAGGAATTTCTTTACATTTGGAGGGATTTCCGCTCACTTCCTGTTGTGGCCATAGGGCAGGAAGTGAAGGAATTACTCCCCGATGGGAAACAAATGGCAAAAAAGCTGGCAGGTTATAATGCTCCCTTCTATCCAAAACTAAAAAAAGTTTGCTTCAGTTTTATTTTAATTTGATTACCTATACATGTTGGCTGGATAGTTACATAGTGGCATTGTGTCTTGAAATTAACTTTCAGTTGGTAGAATATAATAAGAAATGGTATAATTAAATCATGCAAGCATATAGAATAGTGTGGGGTCACTTTATATATAGTGTGGGTTGATACCAGTTCTAGAAAAGATCTGTCCCACCAGATGTTTTATGGTGACGTAGGAAAGGGCATCTTGATGAAGTTAAGGCAACCAATGCAAATCTTATTAAAAAAAGATGATCTGTGCACGTTGGGTGAACTGCATATTTATGTGGCTAATACAACACTCTACTCTATTACTCTATCTTCTCTACTATGTTTGGTTTGCAATTGAATATCTTTAACAGTTTTTGGTATGTTATATTGCTACTGATTGATGCTGTTTTTGGGACCCTATAAAAAACCTTTTTTTTTCTCTCCAGAAAAAGAACCATGTACATATAAATAAGCCCATAACAACCAATAGAATGCATATTTTACTGATTTCAATTTCATAAACCCAACTGTGATTGGAATCTATGGATTGTTTTGGCTGTTGTGCATTCATTTTAGATATTTTGCTGACATAGTTTTGGTACATTCCAATTTGCTTTCTGTAGTATGAATTATAATTTGACCCATAGAAGTCAAGAATGGTAAGCATTTGTCAAGGATTAGGGTTGGCTGGTATTAGTAAAAGGTCAGTTGCTTTTTAGTGTAGCTTTTTATATCAAATTCATTAAAAAAGTGGAGCATTTGTACCCACCTAGAGTATTCTATAAATTAGTTGTTATAACTAGGAAAATAGATTCAATTAAAGATATTTATAAGGGGGTTATTCACTAAGCTACCGAAGGCAGCCGAGTGAATAACCGAGCCAAAATGAACTGAGCCTGAACATGCTCTGCAAGGGAAGAAGCCGTTCCACTCAGCCGATCCAACATCTGGATTCGGCATTCAGCTCAGCAATTCTGCTCACTACCTCCGAGGTAGCGAGCAGAATAAAAAAATGAAAGAAAAGAAAACAAATTATAAAAAATTATGTAAATAAATGTTAAAAAAAAAGAAAACATTTTTTAAGAAAAAAGAAAAACCCAGAATGGGGTCCTCCTACCTATTCTCTAAAGGGTTAAATTTAAAATTAAAATAAAGAGCCCACAACAATGAGTTTTTTTTTTGGACAATTCCTTTATTTAAAAAAATAAAAATTGATCCAGCTACGTAATCCTAAGGTCAATCACGACGTCCAGCCTTGTCCAGGACGATGACGACGACTTGTTGAAATTTAAAAAAAAACGCTGCCCACCGACCCATCTGCACGCGATGAACTCCTGCCGCAAAATGACAATCTGACAGATGCCAACAAAATATAAAAAAATTGGACGGAGCTAGCGGTGACATCACCTGTTTACATTTGTTTACATTTGTCGGCACCTGTCACATCCCGAACCAGCCGAATCAAAACAAATAGGCGGAGTCCGCCGTGATGTCACGGCCGGTTCTGCCCATTGTTGTCATTCAGTGACAGCACAGTGTCCTCAAATAACCTGAGGACGCTGGGCTGTCATTGAATGACAACAACTGAGCAGAGCCAGCCGTGACATCACAGCTGGCTCTGCCCAGTTGTTGTCATTTGCGGGGAAAACAGTGTGCTTTGGCAGACTATTCTCCCCGCTGCAGCTGTGACTATGGCTCAGCCGAGCCAAAGCAAATGCGTATATATGCTCAGGTGAGCCATTTGCCTGCCTTCGGCTGCTGCTGTGAATAGCCCGTACAGCAGCCTTTCGGTTCGACTGAACTGAAGGGCTCTGGCAGCCGAAGTGAGCCGAAGGATCTAGCCGTAGATTCTGTAAATGCAGGCTACTTGTCTGTCTTGAATCATTTGCCCATCTGTGCCTATCCTTGACTGATTTTATTGAATGCAGTGATGTTTGGAGTAGGTGTGCAAGTGATGGAAATGCCATTTGTCAGTTCCTGTATTGAACTGAGTCTAAAGCTAAGAATAAAAATGTAATATATTAGAGTCCTAAGATGTGGTGAAGACATTACTTTTCTTTTTTTCAGGATTTTTTAAATTTTATTTTCACCTTGTAGTAGTGTCAACTGTCCTAGGGTGACAAGCTCACTCTCCGCACTGTATGGAGGAGTACCACTATCACCCTAGTACAGGACTACAGAACTCCTTCCCCTCTCCTTTTCCCCATAACTTATGGGAAGGTGTTCATTAGTTTACAGAGATAACTTAAAACAATGCTAACTGATAACAGCACTGCTCGAGATCACAGGATTTAAAAAAAAAAACTCTCTAGATTTTTGGCAGAATCAATAGGTATTTTTTGGCACTTATCAAAATCTTGTAACAAATTGCTTTCAATTACATATCTAACAGACCAAAAGGGAGCAAATACGAGAAGTTTGTTGTTAGGGTTTACATACCTTTTATTGCTTTATAGACATTTCATGGTTTATTTTTATGGCACTTTATCCAGTTTTATTTGCCTTAAATAATGTAATAGGTTTGACATCACTCTGACGTTCCTAATTTGCATGTTTGGTCTTGGTCAGTTACTCAGAAAGTATTAAAGGCAGAGACAGTCAGGCAACTGATATATTAACAAGGAAGTTAACAATGGCAGCCCTATTTTTCACAGGATATTCTAAAACGGAAAGTTAAACAGACTTGTGAAAGAATTGGGTGCACACGTTTCTTCATTATCTGTCTGCGTTTTCTTTCATATTGCTCATATTTCATTTTGTTACAATCTGTTGAAAACAAAAACCCCAAAAATGAGGTACCCTATTTGTATTCATTAAATTTCCATCGTCACCTAGCGATTTCCCAGCCCTTACAGCTGTACGTATATTTGCAACTATTGGTGTACAGAGCCTACTAGCAGAGAAAACAGTAAATGAAAGGCAGCTTACTGCATTGTGGGATAACATAATAACTAGTATAACTTTCCCTTTTAAGGTTTCGTGTTGGCAATGCCACATACCCTTTCTATATATTGTTATGTTCATGTAGCTTTGGTTATGGTTGATTTTGTTTGAATTGTCGAATATCGTTTGAACGAGATATGCTTGATTTTCCTTTTATTTCTTTGGACAAATATGCTTTCTCTGGCATGCTTGAGAAGAAATAAAGACAAGGAAAGCAATTACTACCATTTTGGATCATTGAGCCATCATGCTGTGCTCTGTCAGCACTGCCTGGGTTTTCCTGTAGGCATGTACGCTACGTTATGATAATCCTGTTGTAACCAGTGGTGATTATTATTGGCATGGCTGTAAAGTGTTTAGGGATCTAATAAAGTAAAACTTAGACATGACCTAATTGGGTCAGGAGTCTCTTGGACGTCATAAAACATCATTTAAGTTTTCTTTTTAAAGTTTGGTGCGT